TCGCGAGGTTGAAGTAGGATCAACGAGATCACGCGAAAACGTTTGTACTTGGTGTAGACAGCAGACGCACGGAGGAGGTTTGCTCGGCTGATAGACGCTTTGAGACGAAGCTTGCTTGGAGAAGAAGGGGGGGGGGGCGGCCGGAAAACTAGCGGAGTGCAAAAGTTGCAGATACGAGTATCGTCGCCGCCAGGTTGAAGTGGGATAAACGAGTTCACGTGAAGACGTTTGTGTTTGGTGTAGCAGCGCATAGACAAGGTTTGCTCGGTTGCTACAGGTTTGAGACGAAGCTTGACTAGAGCGGAAAAGGGGGGGGGAGGACGGCCACGAAATTGGAAGAGTGCAAAGGTTGCAGATGCGCGTATCGTCTTCGCGAGGTTGAAGTAGGATAAACGAGATTACATGAAGACATTTGTGTTTGGTGTTGACGACAGATGCAAAGACAAGTTTCGCGAAATTGGCGCAGTCCAACATTGCGGAAGCAGGAACGGGGGTCACGTGAGAGTTTGCATTTCTCAAGTCGAAGGGCTGCTACGGTCTGCGCAGAACTTAGCATTCGAGATGTTGATAAAGCATTGCAACATAACCTTGCAAACTTGATTGATATCAAGGGAGGAGGAACGCGCACATAAGACACCGTGAGTGTCGAAGAGAGTCTCGAATCCACAAGCTATCATCGCATTTTGTTATTGCTCGTTTGCCGCATGTTGAACGTGGTAGTGCAACTGGTGCCGTTCGTGCAAGAATTACGTCTTGAATTGCGATGGGGTCTTGTTGCATACATCGTTAGGTCTTGATTGCTGGTGTCGACTTCGGGACATGCATGACGGCAAGTATGATGCTGAAGGTGGTTTTGGTAGTAATTGCAACAACCATCCCTTCATTGAATGGGTTCCCCTAGTATATGGCTAGATATACTGAAGTCGAGGTGTTTCGTGTCGTGTTGGGCCTGTCGGAGCTTTTCACGGTTACGTGATATTGTAAACCTTCTTGTGGGTTTGGTAATTCTGCAAGCCCTAGTTTTGCTTCTGTGGGTTCTAGCGCGTTCGAGTGGTTTCTGTTGCTTGCTGACTCTTTGCTCGAGCTGCTTTTTTTCTCGACTCCGCGGGGTGGGGGTGGGCGGGGCGGGGCGGAGTGCTGGGCTGGGCGGACCTCGGAGTGCAGTGCAGGAGGACTCTAGGAGTGCAGGTCGTCGTGCGTGCGAGGTTCGGGTTTTCGTTCAAGGATCGCGGGTTTTTTCTATGTGGGTTGAGGATGTCAGGCTGTGCATGCTTTAAGCTCTTCCCTTCCCTGCTCTCCTTCCCTTTGCCTCGCCTCAGGTTTGGACCTCTTCGTTCTGGCCGGGGCCTCCCTCGCGAGGCTTCAGGGGTTCCAAGTGGGTTGGGGCTCCGAGGTTGAGAGGTCTGAGTGCGCGAGGCTTGGGCGTTGAGGGTTTTTTGACTTTGGGAGGCCGGGTGGGGCTCCGAGGCCGCCAGGTTTTGGGTGCTTGCTTTTTTAGGTTCTCGGGCATGGCGAGGGGCTAAGCCAAGAACCCCAATCGCGAAAGGTGCCGGGGGGTCGAGCGGGAGCACCACTCGCTAGTCCCGGACCCGTCGGCTCCTTTCGTTTTTTTTTTTTTTTGTTTTCTTTTTGGCGGGATTGGTGAACTGGACGGGTCGAGCGGGAGCACCGCTCGCTAGTCCCGGACTCGTCTGGATGGCGAGGGGCTAAGCCGACAATCCCAGGTTGGCATGGCGAGGGGCTAAGCCCAGAACCCCGTCAGTGAGTGTGTTGGCGGCCGTGTCGTCGCTTGGACGAGAATGCCTGATTCAAGCAGGGCTGAGCAAGGCCAGTGAGCGCTTTTCGTCCTACGCGAAAGAGCTCCTAGCTCCAACTCTCACCTTGAAAGGCAGTAAGCCATGGGAAGGCCGAAACTTGTTGTCGCCGCCCACTGTTCTTGGTGAGATTTTCATGCCCTGTTCGGAGTTGAGGATGAGTTCAGAAGCTGCCGAACTTATCGGCGAGGAGCTACGCAAAGCCCGCAATCTTCACATCGAGTGTTCTCCCACAAGTGTACGCACGGTCTGCCGAGAGGTGGCGTGCCTGTTGCAGCACCGGTGGGGAAGTAGGTTCTGGCCTCTGCTGGCCGCCGGGGATGTTGATGGGTTGATTGCAGACACCCGAGCTATACGCTGGCCCAAACCCATCAACTCTCTTTCCACCCTGTACAGGCTGCCGCTACCATGATTCACACTCCCAGCTGGCCAAAAAAGGCTCATGTTCCAGACGATCTGCCTCCACGTTGGAAACTTCAGCGTTTGAACGTGAAGCACGCTTTGGGTCAAATAGCTGGATACTCTTGGGCCCTATTTTCTTTTGTAGGCTACTTCTTCCAGACTTTAAAGCTTCACTGAAGCAGCCAAAAAACCGATTCAGCCCGCCGGATAAAGGATTGCACAGCCCACGAAAGCATTGAAATAGAAACTGAGATCCTGGGCGCTGAACCATACGAACCCGAAGCCCGCATAACAAACTTTGCAATCAGCCGCTTTCCTGTTTGCCAGGGCTAAGCAAAAGCTGTTGGGGGGTGGGGAGGGGTGGGAGGCGGGGTGGGGGGGGGGAAGGGGAGGGGGGGGGGAATTTACTTCAAGCATTTGGCTTTTTCCAGACCGCCTCCAAACCACCAAACTGGGCTGATTTTGAACTGGGGGCTGGGGAGTGGGGGAATTTTTGTTTTTGGAACTGATTTTGAAGGGTGGGGGGGCTAGGGCCTGGGGATGCTGGGGCTGGGGCTGGGGCCTGGTGCTCGGGCACCAAACTGGGTTTTTTGGCAGGTCCCTCTAACACCCGAACTGGATTTTTGGCTTTTTCCAAGTGTACCCAATTGGGTTTTTGGCCTTTACCAGGCACCGCCAAGCACCCGAACTGGACCCTTTCCAAGCTACCAAACTGGATTTTTGGACTGGGTGTTGGTGCTTTTTCCAAGCACCTCCAAGCTCTGAAATTGGGTTTTTAGCTTTTCAACCCCAAAACTGGGTTTTTCCAAGCCCCCCAAACCCCAAAATTGGCCAGGCGCCCTGCAAACCCTCAAATTGGGTTTTCTGCCTTTTCCAAGCCCTCCAAGCCCCCAAACTGGGTTTTTGGCCTTTTCCAGGACCCCTTCCAAGCCCTCAAATTGGTTTTTTGGTTTTTCCAGACCCCCTCCACGTGCTGATTTTGAGCTGGGGGGGCTGGGGGCTGGGGGTATTTGGGTTTTTGGAACTGATTTTGAAGGCTTTGGGCTGGGATTGGGGGCTGTTTTGGTTTTGCAACTGATTTGGGGCTGGGCGGGCGGCCCGGGGGGGCCTGGCAGGGCGGTTAAGGGGCTGGCCCGGCAGCCTTCCCGTAATTGGCCGGCCCGGCCGGGCCCGAAGGTCGGTGGCCCGGGGTGGGGCACCGGGGCGTGTCGTCCAGCAAAGTCCGCACCATCCAGCAATTATGGTTTCTACAGACGCCGAAGAAGCTCTGCCTGCCCTCGCGTCATGAGCCCAGATTGGGGTGTGGGATTACCTTCTTGGGGGTTGCGGCGTGTCTGTTTTTTGTAAGGAGCTGGGAGGGGGGTGGAGAAATTGGTTTATCAAGAAGCTTATTTCGTTACTAAGCTCCAGCTCAAGTTTGGCCGACATTGAAGAAACGTTTGGGACGTGGCCGACGCACGCACTACCGTGAAAACTTTTGTCATTTCCAACTTCATTGTGATTTTGGGTTTGGGGTGCTGGGCCGCAGCTGCGGTTACAAACAAAGACAGACAATTTCTATTTATCACTTTCTTGAGGATTTAGGGTTTAGGATTTAGGGTTTAGAATTTAGGATTTAGGGTTAGGGGTTTAGGATTTAGGGTTTAGGGTTTAGGGTTAGGGCTAGGGGAATAGCCATCTTCCCGATCCAAGGGGCCTTACGAATAGAATAGGACTTGAGGAGTATTGTTGACAAGACCTACCGCCATGGATTATGGAGACTATTGTTGGGATTATATAGGGACTACTGACTACTATAGTGCCAGTAGGAGAAGCTCCCGAATCACGGCAGAAGCACAGTGAGTTCGATGCAAGATCATCGGCTTATGAGTTCGTTGGTTGACTAAGGATGCGCTGCTTGCTTGGCCGATGAGGCCACGACCATTTTCCCTGCTGCTTCGCAGCAGCTTCGCTTTCAGTGCGAACCATAAGATTAGGTCTAGTCGAGTCTAGGAGGTAATGTAAGAACCTGATTAAGAAACCCTGGGCTTCTAACCCCCAAATAGTCGGATTCATATAAGGAGCCCGTTTCAAGGCCCAGGGTTTGTTAATCAGGTTCCTACGCTATGTCGATTTTGCGTTGGAGTGCGCTCTGGAACTCTCCAGTAATCGTGCACCCTTCGCAGTCGACTTTCACTGCCAGGTATCCCCTTGTCAGAGTAGAACACACAAGCATATTATGATCCATGGTAACACGCTCGCACGATCTAGTTGCCTGGCCCCGGTTCTGCTGCTGCAGATGATCGCATTTTTGGAAATTCGAGTCGTTCTGTCCTAGACAGAGCTGCTTCCATCCTACCGGCGGAAGCCGTGTCACCACGACGGCAAGACACGCTGAAGGCTTGCACCTGCCTAGTAAAGGCACGCTCTCTGTGGGAAAGCGGGGGCGTGCCGTGTCTCAGGTTTTGACACGATGGAGACCAAGACCGGTCCATGTACAGTGGGCTTTTCCACATCATGTCAACGTGCGGTTCGAAGTATCGATGAGACGGGGTTCTTGTTAAGGGTTTTCTATTTCAGTTGCCATAATACGGAATTCATCTTACTTCCTATAGATCCCTATTGAATTCCTTAACAAGAACCCAGAAGAGTGATCGGGACTTTGCCTGGCGGCACCCGTCCGGTCTCTCACCAATCGTAGAGTCCCACTGACGGCCGGGCGAAAACTTGGCGATGCACCAGAAATGTCTAAATCCTAAACCCCTAAACCTAGGTTTTGCCTTGCTCTTTGTTTGTCACAGTGAGGTCTTGTCGTGCTGACTCCGAGCTGGCCCTCATCTGTGTAGACCTCAGAGCCTCGAAATCTTCACTGAGCTAAGACTGGCTCTCGGGCTGTCATCGTTAGGCCCTAAACCTGCTTAAAGCATCATGGTCTAGGGTTCAGGATTTAGGGTTTAAGGTTATAGATAGCAGTACTTACAACCCCAATTAAAGCCAAAACCCTAAACCCATCCAACACCAAAGCCCTAGGAAGTTTCATGCTCCGAGGCCTCAACAACCGTGCTGCATGCTACGCCCAGTTGAAGCGGTCCCTGGCTTGGTTACTTGCAAAGGGGCCTTCCTGAGGTTAGCTTATATCTGGAGCTTCGAATTCTCTCTACTCTACTTGGACGTTCATGGGTAGTTAAAAGTGGGGTCATAAGTAGGGTAACTAGACTTATAACTCATACTAAGAGACTTCTAATCCTGCTTAGAACTACCCATGAACCTCCAAGTATCCCGAGGCATGAGCTGGTTGTGCAAGACACCTCGGAGGTGCGTCGGGCGCGCGGTAGCCGACTCACCAGGAGTTACGTGCGTGCTTGAGTTGTGCCGTAGGTGCTGCAGAAGCAGCCTGCCAACATGAAGGCGCAACATACAATTTCCGACTGGATGGAATCTGAGACACGCGCGGCCGAGATTCCTGCATGTTCCTTCACTTATAGTTTCCAGTCTAATTTCCATAAGCATTCTTCCTCAGTTACTGACCAGCCTTGTACAAGAAATGCCGACGAGCACTGAAGTCTCAGAAGCACTCCCCTGAAAGCCTGAATAAATTTCAAACCCCAAACTCTTCAACTCTAAAACACTGAAGCCCTGCAGACCCTAAATCCCCATTTAAACCCTGCGGCAGTCTTTCCACAACAATAGTAATAAGAGTAGTAGTAATAAGAACCATATTCATGATGAGAAGTAAGAACGCCAATGCTATTGGACATATTACTGGCCACAAGACTACTCATACAACTAATTGGTATTACTGAAATAAACATAGCAATAACAATAGTAATTGAAAGTAGTAGTGATAATACTAATAACAAGACTGATACTTGCCACAATAGTAATAACAATAGTATTAGTGGCAACAATGGAAATAATCGCAATAACACAGGCCCTCCTTCGTCGGATGGTTGCCTTGGATGCCCTTGGAAGGGAAGAGGCAGCCCTGAAGGACGGCCTAGCCTTGATATGTTGTGATTATATGTCTATACTCTAGATAGTCCATGTCTTATATTCGATGTTATGTGAAGAATGTATTATTCTCTACTGTGTAGAAATTATGTGCTATGCATTGTATATTTCGGGCGATGTGTTACACATTATGCAGTATGCTTCATATGATACAATCTATTTTGGCATCTTGCCTGAAGCGTTTGTTTCCAGCAGTCGCAATGCAGGATGCCAAAGACATCCTTATCATGGAGCCCAAGAACTCTCATGCAATGCAGGCGGTGCTTGGCCGCGTGTCGTACAACACAGTGACAGCTGGAAAGGCGCAGGTGCAAAATGTAGGTAACTCAGGTGGAGAGTCGGGGCACTACAGCTATAGGCTATGCATGGCATATGCAGCTTGCTGCGGAACCCTTCTACGCTCAGACCCAGCCACTCATCGACGTTCGTTTTTTGGTGTAAGGCATGGCCAGAGCACGAGAGCCGCCTGCAGGTTGTTGCGCGCAAGAGAAAGAGCCTCACAAAGAAGGCTGTCCGAGCTTCTGAGACATAAACGGACAGGGAGCTGTCGGCACGCTCAGAGCAGGCGAGCGACGCGCTTCCTTCGTCCACTGGGCAACCCGAAACAAGTGTCGCGGTCTTCCTCTTCAGCGAGGTGGGTTGGCGCTTTGCATGTCGTGCGGCAGTGCCGATGACAGCGGCTTCGCAGCGACTCCAGGATCGGCCGCTTCAGTGCTATGCCTGCCTGCGATCCTTGCAGAAGCACCTGCACGGCGCTGCACTGCACGCTCTGCTCCGAGACATGCGGGAAGCAGCCCAGCCGGTGCGAGTGCATGTGCGTGTTTCAGTGGGCCTTTCGTGTGAGGTGACGGTATTTTGGCAAGCGGCTGAGCGCAGCTTGCCTAAAGAAGCCGCCACAACGGCACTTGATGATGCAGACAGTCTTGACATCTTGTTGCCTGAAGAGGCGCCTGCGTTCATTCGTACCAGCTTCTGGAAGCCCTCCCCGAGCACCGGTCTCAGTTCATCCGGGCTTGCAGCATGGAGAGCCACCTGAAAAGTTGCATTGCTTGCATCTCCAAGGCTCCGAAGCTTGCAGCATGGAGAGATTGTCCCAGACATAGTGCCAAGACATCTACTGTCTTTGTTGCTTTGTCGCTTCTTTGTGGTCGGGACTTTCTACGTTAAGGTTCAGAGTTTCACGCCTTGCTCTGGCTGAGGCCTGGCTGGAAGTGTCAAAGGGCCAACTCTACAGCAATTTCTCGAGAACTGCGACTTGGATTGTATCGCTTAACGAAAGCGGGGTGTAAGGGTCGCTCAACGAGTAATTGGTAAAGCCGCTGCCTGGCAAGGGTTCTGTCGTGTGTGCAAGTGTGTGCGATCAGGCTTGCCTGTGTGTCTGTCGGTTGGTCGTTTGTGCACTGTCAACCGCTGCTGCAGGTAAGCCGCCTGTCAGCCGATGGGCACAGTTCTCAGTGACATGCCCTGCTGTGATGTTGCCGTGCTGGCCTTCTGTCCAGGATCCGGCACCTGCTGATACTGTCGGATTCGGCCGTCTTCCACACCAGCACCGAAGATCGGCAAAATCTGGAGAGAAATATAGGGGCCTTAATAATTAGAGTAGGGGTTTTGTGGACCATTATACCATAATAATAATAATAAGGACCCCGTAAAATAGTATTGGTAACTATTAAGACCCCTATAGTATACTATACTTAAGTAAGGCCCCTATAACCCCAAACCCTAAACCCTAAACCCCTAAAAAACCCTAAAAGCCTAAACCCCTAAACCCCTAAAACACCCTAAACCCCTAAACCATAAGCCCTATATAATTATAATAGTAAGGAAGCCTCCCCTCCTCTTGGCTGCTGGGTTTCGGAGCTCCCGGCCCCGAGGATGTTGCGGCGGCTTCAGCCCGGGCCTCGCTTCTCTGGTACCATTACGAAAAAGACAACTACTATTTCTACTGTTACTAGTACTACTGTTACTATTGCTAGTAGTAGTAGTAGTAGTAGTAGTAGTAGTAGTAGTAGTAGTAGTAGTAGTACTACTACTACGACTACTAATCACGCTTGAGCCGTCTGTAGGTTGGAGGCTCTTAGCTTTCGGCCCAGGCCTTGCTGAGCGAACGCTCAGAGACTTTTGCAGTGCGCTTGGACTTGCCTCAGCCTGAGACGCTGGTTATTATGACAAAGGGTTCCTTAATGGGCTGTATAAGGGTTCCTTCAAGGGTTCTAAATTAAAGGGATCCTTAAAGGATTCTATAAGGGATCTACAAAGGGGTTTAGGGCCTATGCTAGGTTCCTGGGTAGTACCCTTCCGCCCTTTTCCATTTTCAAACCCGTAGGGAAAAGTGTACCCTGATTGGCTACTCAGGAACCTAGATGATCATTGAAAGTTAGCGCAGCTTCCTGTTCTCATCCGTTCCGTGAAATGAAGGTAATACTGTAGGTGCAGTCAGATTCTGCAAACATACATAATTATCTTGATCAGTCCGTTTGCGGAATTTTCCAGTGCCCAGCCAGGAATCCTCGCATCGAGTACTTCTCGGAAGCGGAGCTGTATGCGCAACGCTCGGTCAGTGAAGCATCGCAACAAGGCCGGCGCAGGCCACAGGGTGTGAGACATTGTCTTGGGAAACAGACTGAGGCATCTGCACCCCGATCGAAGCCATTTGCGAACGATCCGAGACTGATGCGAGGTTCTCAGACGACTGACAGCTGGCCATGTGAGAATTTTTCAGGAAAAAAGGCTCATGATGTTGACCAAGTTCTCAGCGGACCCTGCATCCAAGCCATGAGATCTGCCACATCCAGAACCAACATGCAAAATCCTGCATGCCGAAAAGACAGCCTGGACACTACAGCGAAGCAGTAATTCAAAATCTAGGCCTTGCACCTGCAACCCTGTAAGCCCGAACTGCCCCAAACCACCGTCAACCTTTGTCACTGCTCAGGGTGTGGACTCGATGTTTTGACTCCTCGAAGATGGCCTACGAAGCAGCAGAAGCCTCAGCTTTGGAGGAGAAAGGCCGAACGACTCAGGTGAAGTTTCTTGTGTGTGCATATGCATGTATGCATGTATGTATGTATGTATGTGGATGGTTGTCATAAAGTATAGGCTGCCGTACTTAGCAGTTTTGAGAGTTACCCGTGTACGTGAACCTGTATATGTGTGCATGCAGGTACACGAACACATATACCGAGAACAGGCACAGAAGAGCATCAGCAGGACACATGTGTAAACATATGTGTGCATACACAGGTGAATAAACACAACAAATTGTAGATGGACGAGTAGATCATTCTGTGTCTGCGTTATGTGTATCAATGTATCTAATGGTGTGTGCGTGTATATGTACATCTGCATTTTTTGGATTTGTGTTTGCTCATAAGTGTAAAGGTGTACATGTGTGTGTGTGTATCTGTATGTATATGTATATAATATATTTACATATGTGTTGATATGTCAGTGTACGTGTGCATATGTGCATGCTTATGTAGATGTGGATGCTGCTACAGATGTGCATGTATATGTATATGTATACATATACATACACGTATACGTATAGGTATATGTATATGTTTACGTATGCGTGCATGTATGCACGTATGCATGCATGCACATGTATATACACATGCATGCACCGGGGCACATACATATGTATGTATACATAGGCACACACACTTATATACGCATGCATACCCATACATACCCATGCATGCACATGCATACGTATACATATAGACCTACCTACCTACTTACCTATACCTACATACATGAACACATATGTATGTACACACATACATGCGCAGTTGCATATACACATACATGTACATGTACAAAAACACGTACATATACATATGCATGGATAACATACACATAAGCGTACAAACAAACAAACATACATACATACATACATATATACATACATACACCACACCACACCACACCACACCACACCACATATGTATACAGACATACATACACACACACACACCACACATGTATACAGACATACATACTGTATGTACATACATGCATATGTATGTTCTTGTGCAGCTCAGCTAGGATTGCCCTGTTAGTGGGGTATGGAGCCTGTAAACAGCAGCTTGAACATGTAAAGACGTCGCTTGAAAGGTGCCGCGAGAAAGCGGTTGGGATGACATCCTCTGCTGGACGGCGAGCCTACTTCGAGCATTGCGCTTAGAGCTGTGGTGGGCAAAGATTCCAAGCATTGAGTTGATAGAAGCCGGCGCACATACAGTGCTTGTGCACTGAGCTGCCTGCAGTCTTCGAGAGATCCTACCCAGGCCGAGCATGTGGCGCACTTCTTCTCTGCACTGCAGGGAAAGGAGGTCGACAACGTAAAGGAGCTGGACGACAAGGCTTCAAGCAGCGCTACGGCTCTTTTCAATTATGCATTCCCGGCTGTTGTACAGAAGTGCCAAGAACTGGAGGCTGCCGATTGGCTCAGCAGACGGCAGCGCATGAAGCGCAGAGAGGTCTCAATATGTGTGGGGCCTCGGTAAAGCAGGGCGGGCTGTGCGAGAGAAGGCAGAGGAACACTGTGTTCTGTTCCGCATGTATACAAGTACAAGTAGCACATGCAAGCACCACGCCATGCCATGCATCACAGTCTTAGAAGAGGCAGTCCCAGAGCCTTCAGAAGGTCCCGTCGCTCTAGAAGTGGCTCCGTCCCGAGGTACTGCTTGTTTCGTCGAGCCTCTCCTGATCACCCTTGATGCCCGTGGCTTCGGATCGGCTAAGGAGGCGGGGTACAAACGGCTGTGTGGAGTTGGAGTAGTGTTGCAATTTAAACTTCAGAGAGGCCGATGGTCTCCTCCGAGCTCATCTTCTGCACGACTTGGGCGGGAAGGCTCAACTCCAGGTTTCCACGGGTTGTTTGCCTGGCCAAAGTTACACTGGTTGCTCGTAAGATTCGGAGCAGCTGCTTTAGGGTGCGACATGACCCTGCCTGCACGGGGAGAGTTGGGTTCGGGGGTTGTGCAGCTTGTCTTGCCGGAGTTGGAGACTTCCTGCAGTCTTGCGATCGGCTCATGGCGGTCAAGAACGTACTCGTAGCAAGTAGGAAGTGTGGAGCCGTGATGGTGCTGCTGACCTTGGCTGCGGTTGCGGCCGGGACCGCTGGAGCAGGTGTGACGGGGAGCAGGTGCCTCCTTGATGCCAGTTGCGTTGAGGCGGTGTAGGAAGGTGCTCTCTCAGGCACGAGACTGCGCGTGTTGCGGGCGAACACGATAGTGGAGAGCGCAAGACTTTCCCTTGCAGACTGGTGGGAGATGGTGAGCTTCGGCAACCTGTGCGAGAACGATGACCTCCTAAAAAAGCTCACCTATGCCATGCGCGCCGTCGCAGGGACCTTTAAAGACTGCGCATAAAAGTCTGTGACACGGTCTCACACACACACACAGCAAGGAAGGAACTGACGGCTCTATAAGGTCCGCAACCTGGACATCCCGTGGCTTGCCGTGTACGCGCACAGCGAGGCGGTGAAGGCCCGGAGACAGTAAATCAAGTGCCGCGGGCTCGAACTTTGACGCACACTGCAAGGCGTGGCTGCTGCTCAAAGTGAAAAGCCACAAGGAGGGCAGGGCCGGGATTGGAGGACTGCACAGTCACGTCTGGGCTGGCCGAACATAGCCCCCGGAGGCCTCGAAAGCCGGCAACGCCAAGGCGGCGAAGGCTCGGCGACAGCCGGGCTGGAGTCGGCGCGGAAATGCGTCTCGCTCTGTGCGCCAAGGCAAAGGCCGAGGCGAAGAGAAAGGTGGAGGAGGTGGAGAAGAAGTTGGCCGAGCACGCCCAGCTGCTCGAGGCCTCCTGCACCGTCACCTGGTATTAGCGGTAGCGTTGACGGAAGCCGACGTAGGGTGGCCTCGTGCACAGGCCAAAAAAAAACGGAAAGAGTCCGAGAACAAGCGCCGACGCGACCGGCGTAAGGAGCTGAAGGACAAGGAGGACTCGGACTCCGAGGCCCGGAGTGCGCAGGACCGTGCATCTGCCTCGACGTATGTAACACACCGGCCGAGGCTTGCCGCAAACTTCAGCGCCTGCGGGACCAGGCGCAGGGAGGACAGGCCGGAAGAGACAACGCCCTAGCTGTCTGCGCGACAGGAAGCACGACTCCCGCAAGCGGCTGAAGGCCAAGGCCGACGAGGGCCGGCGTATGCAGGAGGCCATCATGATGTCCGACCTAAGCACACGGCCCCCTATGACGTTGACTACAGGAGCTGGACAAGCTCGAAAAAGAGCTGGAAGAAGTGCGCGGCAAGAAGCCGACGCGCAAGGCGGCGGCCTTGTCTGTCGTGCGCAGTCCGCGAAGTCGAAGAAAGCTGAGCTCCGACCGAAGGAAGTCCTCCTCATATACGGGATGCGGGCGCTTCCGGTCCGCTCCGCAGATGTGCAACAGAGCGCGCCAGCCGTGCACGAGCCCCTGCGGCTTGTTCTTAATTGTTGGCTCGAAAGGACGAGCCTCCGGCAAACACCAGCTCCACTGTGACGACGACGGAGGCCAGACTCGGATTAGAGCACGACTTGTGCAGGGCCAGTTGTCGTGCCCGTCCCCGTCTCGAAGGTGCCGCTTCGTCCGAGCCACGAAACGGAGGTCCACTGCCAGATTCGCTGACGCAAGCTCTCACTCGCCCGCATGCGACCTCTCCTATTATATAGGCAGCCAACACCGGTGGCGAGCCAACGGAGAAGGCGAGATGCAGGTGGCGCGGGGTTGCCACTCGTGATTGCACCGTGGCCAGGTTCAAAAGACCGATGACGGGTCTCGTCGAGTCGTGGATCAGCAAAGCAGCTGCTGGTGCTCGGTGCCTCGAAAATGCAATGAATTAGTTCGGTCATGTGGACGTTTCTTTGGAGGTGCGGCTCGCATGCAAGCGCCCAAGTGCCAAGTGGACAGTGTCGACTTCAAGCTGCGTGGCGGGGAGATGCACTTCAAAGTTTCAGGTGGGCGCCACATCGCACAAGAGCGCAGCGATGCAGAAGCCTCGCTAAGTGCATTCGGTTTCAATTCGTCAGGTGTGGAAATCGGAAACTTGGCTCCTTACAAGAGCGACTGGCTGCTCCGCATGAGAAACGTGAACTTCGTGGCCTGAAGCTCAGCTCGGACGTTGGCTTCAGTCGTTCGTTGCAACGTGCGGGACACTTCCCTGTGGCTCTCCATCCGGTTCATAGCAGAGTCCATGTCCCTTCAAAGTCCGGGTTCTGCAGACCTTGTCGCAAGGGCTCAGTTGGCTTATGATGCGAGATGGCTTTAGCGTCCAGAGTCAGCGTGGTCACCTTAGGTCAGCCTGACGATTTTCATGAGATCAGGCCGGCGGGGAATGTTAATGTTCAGCGCTGTGAAGAGCTGGTGCGCAACGGTGCGAGTTCTGAGATCGATTGACGGACAGAATCTCGACGATTGAGTCTAAGGACTCGACCAGCTTGTCATTGAGGAGCTGACCGTGGATGGCCTGGAGGTCACAGTCGAGAAGACACGAGATCCCGCGACGGACAATGTGGAGGAGTTCTTGGGCAAAATCCCACACAACGGGGCGCGGGGAAGCTGTCCGAACGAAGGAAATCTTCTCATCAAGAAGATGCAAGCGGAGCGCATGATTGTCCACTTAGTCCTCGCGATACCTGACGACGAGCCGCCCCTTTCGCTGGCCTTCCTGGCTCCACTCCACGACATCACCAACATCGAGAGCCACGGCGCAACGAAGGCTGACGACATGATCCAGTTGTTGCTGAAAAAGATCTTGGGCTCTGCTAGCCGAGCCGCGGCCTTGGCAAGTGAAGAGTTCGGAGAGTTCGTCATGTGTAGACCTGCGCATCCCAGTATCCTGGCGTCTGGCCGGCATGCTGGCATGGACGTTACGCATCTTCCTGTGACAGCTGAGGTCGTTCCAGACCCGGCCAAAGACGGCGGAGCCAGGAGCACATACTCCAATGCCGGAGCTTTTAACGGGAGCACACTGCATGGAATCATGCAGTATTCGCTTGATTCGTTGTGTTTCTTCTCTGCTGACGCGTTGTGTTTCTTTCACCGTTGGCTGCCAAGCTTCCCTTCCAAGTAGAGACGGACTTGAATTTGAGTCTGTCGAATTTCGCTGAACTGAGCAATACCTACACAGAGAGCTGAATGACTGAAAGCTCAGCACTGATTGCTTCTGAGCCGTGGTGTCTAGAATCCGGAAAAGCACTGTTCGACGCGTGGAAGGCAACAGTCCTGTTCTCATGATATCTACAGTTTATTGCTTCAACCCTTTGCTAGCGGGCACTGCACTGCGCTCGACGAATGTGGTTGATGCCCGCGGCTGCACGTGCTTAGTAGTATTGATCTAGATGTCCAGGCAAGCTTCGGCAAGCTAGCGCGCCAGCTAAGTCGTGCACTCAGTCGTTATGGAAGGCGTTGTCTCCTCAACATGTCGTGAGTACGATGATGTAGTCTTTCATCGTAAGCACACTTTGGTAGCACAGTCGTGTGAGCTGGGCTTGAGGGTATCCGGGCACCTTTTTTGAATCTTGAGTCATGGTCGTTGTCAGTTCACTTCGGCCAACAATGTTCAGGGCAAGGCCGGCGGTTTCGCCTTCCCTGGTGTCACGCGTGGACGAGCAACATGTCACATAATTATAGAGTTGGCAAGCCATCGACAGGCATCGTGATAATTCGAGGCCTCTTTTCCTTGATACCCCAAGCCATAGTAGCAGCGAAGTAGTGCCGAACAGTTACAACGGCAAACATGAGGGGATGCACACCCACCTGAAACAAACTTCGTTGCAAAATGCACGGAAGCTGCTCCAGATTATGATGTCACACGTTTCCCCCCGGTGGGCTTGAATCAGTGCACAGACGCAGCAGCATTGCGAGCACATGTTCATCGATAACACATTGGTATGCGGAAGTTGCTCATCATCGATCCACGATTTGTCTAGCGGTGCCGATGCAGTAAATCAGTGACGGTGGAGACCGTTTCTGACTCGCCTCGCACCGTCATTTGGAGATTGTTCGGTGAGATTACATATGTAACACCAGAAGCACGACAATGCTACGCAGCCTTAGCGTAGTCAGCGGATGATCGCAATGTGTCTCAGGCTGGAGCGAGGCAGAAGTTGCCAAGTACTTTCAAAGCGTGGATGAAGGCTCAGTTCGCTCATTTCAGCGGCTCCTTTCTCTGTTGCAGAAGTGGAAGAGACTGCAGGTGCTCCGCTCAGCATCTTGGACGGGCTCTTGCAGCCTGAAAGGCACCACAGAAAACAGTCCGTGCTGCCCTCGTCCTACCCCACCCGACTTCAGAAGGTATCGGGAGCACTACTTCGACTCTGCGCGTGTATCGCTAACGGTCCCTCTGGCAGGCAGGTTGGCGTTACTTGGTGTGCAGCAGCGTGTTGTGAGACTTTGTCTGCTCAGCAATGAGCCATCAGGGCCGCCCCGGGAGCTCAGCTGTGAGCCCCTTGTCTCGTGGCGGGAGCCTGAAGATTCCTAACGAGGCTTTTTGTTCCGCTTGCAGTTCTCTACACATGATTGCAAAGGCTGATACCAGCCCGAAACTGCGAAGACTTCCTCCTTGACTGCCTCTCTGCTGCATTGGGTCCGCACCAGGAGCACGTCATCCAATTGCCGGATTTTCATACCCAGACCTTGCTCTTATTATCAACCTTCCTGTATGGTCAATCTCTTCCGAAGGTTTTCGCTCCATTGAGCAGCAGGCCAGTGACTCAGGGAAAATTCTTGCCACAAGAGGACTTCGGGTGCCCTCTGTTGCTGGAAGGTTGGAGTGGCTGCTGGATCCTACGAAATTGTAGTGGTCGAGGACGGCCACTAAACCCTAAACTCCCTAAGCCCTAATTATCGGCGTCAGCATGTTCGTCTGGATCGACAGAACTGTCACTAAAGCCGGAAGATGCTCTTGCCGCTGGCCACAACTACTGTAGTTAGTTCCTTACAGTTAGTTGAAGAATGTTGAAGATTCCGGTCGAGTGGTGGCACCGTAATCTGATCCCGCTGTAGGTGCAAGCCGCAACAGCCACAACACAACAGGCACCAGGTCTTTGCCCGGCCCGTCTTCAGTTGTTCAGGACGCTTCGGAAGATGGAACATCGGCGATTTTGCAGCACTACGCAGACAAGCGCCCGAACGCAGCTCTCTCAAGACATCCAATGTGTAGAGCGCGCGGCGAGAACTTGAGAGCCGCAGCTTTCCTGCCTCTCTGCTCAGGTTCGCATCATTGATAGCAATGGGATGTGCACGGCTCAGCCTGTTTCAAGAGATGTCCCCCAGCACTTTTGCTTGTACATCACATTGTTCTATATCATAGTTGATGTACTCTGCCGGAAATCAATCAAGGCAGCAAGGCGTGGCCGGATGCCTTCGCGAAGGCTGGGAGCACTGCCGGGGTCGCTTTGTGGCCCGCCTGGATGCAGATGACGAGGCCGGCTGTGGGGCAGACCTTTGCACGTAGTTATGTGCTTTCTAAACAAGCCCAGGGTGTAGAGGCTTCCTTTGAGCAGTGCAAAGTTGACCGACATCTTTCGTAGAAGTTCAGGCTGACCTCCAGCGGCTGTCCAAGCAGCTTCGCTGCTTAGCTCAAGCTAAGTCCTTCTGCTGCGTCGTTTTTTCTGGCCTGTGCCAGTTCGGGTGAGTGCCAGACTTTTCCATAGGCTACATGGAGCAGCATCCGTCTGTGGGCTTCCCAGCTGTGCCACTTGCATGCCGGCGAGCATTTCACTGGCTGTCACCGCAAATCTCTCCAGGTCTCCGTGCTGGGTGGCCGTCACAGATCCTTCTTCACGGAGCACCGCAAGTTCACCGTGGAGCGAATATCGCAAAAGGAGGTCCGAACTGACAGGTAGCAGCGCAGGCTTTGCAAGCATTGGTTCGCCTTCCAAGCAACAGTACAAGCTCGTAGCCATGGAACCGTGACGGTAACCTATCGGATCGCGAAGACATGGGGTTGCTTGTAGACCCTTTGAAAATATCCCTAAAACCCTACACCCAAAAACCCCTCAAACCCTAAAATCCTCTGGGGCCAGGATGGCCGAGTTGTAGCCGCTGTGTGGCGGGAGCACGGACCTCAAAGCGGAGTATACACGCATGTGGGGCACACGCAGCTTCGCATTCATGCAGATGCGCTTCGGCCCGTCTTTCCCGCGCTTGCCAAATTTCAAATTTCTCTAGGCATTCTCCCATCTGGATCCTTCATTGCGATTCCACATGTATTTCGGCTAATAAGGGCCACTGGATCGACGAGTCTATCGTGCTTTGCAAGAGCGCTCTCGCGAGCATCGCAAACCATGTGGCCGTGACAGTGAAGTGATTTAGGGTTTCGGGTTTAGGGACACTCAGTAAGTATCTCAGTAGGAGTTTTGGCTGACTCGGCGAAGTTCTGCTGAGAAGCATGTCGTGAACTCCTTGAGGTTTCATGGGCAGCAAACATCTCGCGCGCGGGAGCAGATCTGCTTAGTACGACCCACAGTGGATGCAGCGTAGCGACGCCATGTTTGTTTCACATTCGCGACCTGCTGGCCATGAAGCCGAAGCACCTTCAACTGATCATGCAGCTGTACAGCCGTATACCGTATACTTGATGCTACTTTTGTAACTTTGCTTAACCCTGAACCGTAAACCCTTGCTATCAGGCTGAAAGAGGCGACCAGGTGCTGGTCGTGGAGGGCCCGGCTGAGCAACCTGCCTTATACCGTTTAGGTCTAGCGAGGGTCTGACTTAGCAGGCCGCAGCTTAGTAATTGCCTATACTATGTTCCTGATTATAGCTCCAGTACAAAAGCCTGTTCTAATTGATAACGCCCCTACATGATAGTAACCCCTGTAAAAGGCACCCCTCTCAAAGGAGCCCTGTTCTAATTATATATAGCGGCCTTTTCAAGGCACCTTTTAAAGGAGCCCCTATTCTAATGATACCGCGGCCCCGCAGGTACTTGAACTGCAGATTGCTGCGAGTCGGCGAGGCGAGGTTACAGGGAATGCCATGCCCATGGGGCCATGCCCGTTGCCCCAGGGAAGAAGAAGCATGATAACGCTAGCCATAATAATGATAACAATATATTTCATAATCGTAATAGTAATAAAATTCATAATCGAAATATTGCTCTTGGGGCTTTATGGTTTAGGGGCTGGGGGCTTCATGGCTCATTGACGTCCGTGTCTTGATGCGATGTTCTCCTATCAGGAGTCCCTGGTTCTTCATCCAGAGAGGTGGCAAGAGGCCGGGGATCTCGGTGCAGTGTTGTTCACTTAGACATCTCATGAATCAAGTCGTCAGAATGCAGCTCATCTTGTTACTTGGAAATGTCGCGATGGCCGTACTATTTCAGATATCATTAGAAGAAATCCAAATCTGGCACCACCGCGACCACGCCCGTTGACTCTGCGAGTGCCTCTACAGAGAATCTACCGTACTACCAAAGCCACGAAGACGATGATGACCACTACATCTAATTTTTTATCACCACCACCACCACCACCACAACTGCTGATCCTCAACATCACCATCATCATCACCACCATCACCATCTGTACTGACTCCTACTGCTGCTGCTCCTGCTGCTGCTACCGTTGCTGGTGGTGATGGTGCTGGTACCGGCCACGACGACAATGGTGACGTCCCGAGGACGTTGGTGACAGCGACGACTACTTCTACACTAATTACTCCTTGTGCTGAGCTGTTTCTACGATCGCCCTACTGCCACAACCTGCTGTTTTCACTATCACCATCATTGGCACCATCACTAGCATCAACATCCGGATGATGGGGTCGGTGATGATTGCCCTATGTCTGGAGATAAGAATGTCGTCATTTGCCAGGCCCTGAGTGCTGCACAAGGTGGCCGAGGGGAGGCCTGGAGTAGAGCGTCGACTTCCGTATCATCCATTACTCCACTGGGGGCTCCATTGTATGAAAACATGAGGACATGATGCCATGAAGAGCAAATTGGAGACATCCTTGGACACTGTAATGTCGCACTACAGTCTCCTGACGATGCGAGCAGATGATGGCAAGTCGCAGCGACAGTAGGCTGCCGTGGCACTGTGCGCCCTAGACCCGAAACCCCGAAACGCCTGAACAGCAAACCCGAAACTGTAACTCATACAGTGGACCTTGCATGAAACGTCGGATAGTTCTCCCCCCATGGTGAGCCACAAGGCTTTTCACTCAAGGGCTCCCTCATAGGTGAAAATATTGGACAGCCAGCGCGTGACGATTTCTGCTATATTTTGGGTGCTTTTGTTTCTTGAAAATTGTGTGAGTTCGACCGCTCTGCATATTTGGAAGATCGTTCACGGCAGTGTTGAGGTCACTTGAGAGTGAGACCGCTTGAAGCATCAAATTCAGGTTCTCTTGTTCAACAAGCAGCTTTGTGATTGTGCGATAGTTGTTGAGGCTGGAGAGATGCAACCATGCTGTGCCAAGCGACTTTGCTGTCTTATGCAGCCAGAGTACGTTGAGCCTTAGGGAACCCCGAACCCTAGCAAACCCAAACCCCCAAACCCGATGCGGCCAAAGCCCCAAAAGGCTAAAACCCCAACACCCGAACCGCATGAGCCATAACCCTCAGATTCCACGTTTTGAGAGGTTCTTCTTCTGCGGAGAGATCCGCTGGAGCCCGCTCAGGGAGGTCGATGGTCCTGGCCTGAGAAGGGATGAAAATACACGGGCAAGAGTTTTGTCGGGGCTTGGGCCCCCAGGTAACCAGACACCGTTTCTGAATTCGGGGTTTCTCTCGAGTTGAGAGGAAAATCCGAATTTCTTCAGGATGCATCCCTGCCTCGTGCGGGCGGCCTCTCTGTTCGAGGACCTTGGCTCGAGTTCAGGGTAGGGTTTGGTATGCGCAACATAGGAGTTTCCGAAAATAGGGGACCCTAATATAGTACCCGAAATAGTAGGATCCTTATTATATTGACCCCAAAATAAGGTACCCCTATTTTGGGAAACTCCCACATGAGAAGTCTCAAGGAAGAGACCTGTCACTCCCGCGCTTCCTTAGTCGCAGGAGTGCGTGCTGGGGACAACGTGCCTCTTCCGCAAGTCGCACTTCGGTGAGGCACGCAGTCTGCCGTGCCATAGCAAAGTAGGACATTTCCTCATCTCACTCGGCTTCGGTGGGCTCATTGTTGAGAAGCCCTCAGCCATAGCTAGGGCGAGAAGAATCCATTCTGGATGACTGCCAGCGCATGTTGACGCCAGGTGCACAGATAAGACAGGCAATCTCAACGATCGCTGTTTGACCGCAAGCCCTTGAAATTCCGAACACTTCTTTGTAGCGGCGCCATCGCATGCAGTCTCGTCCGCGATTCGTCCTCGCAGGAATGCCCGTTCAAGCGGGAGGAGGCAGAAAATCATTGGCTCTGGTTGGGCCTGGAGTCGTGCCCCCGAGCTCGCCAGAATCTGTGCCAAGTTGGCGGTCATGTCGGCTGTGTCATCCAGTCGACCACAACTTCCCTATGTGCCCAAGCATTCCCAAATAAGTTTGGCCAAGATGACTGCCAAGGTCCAACCAACATGCCATGAACATTGCTGACGTCCTGGTGCACACCAGGCCATCAGCTCTACAACGGACCTGGCTCTGGAAAAGTCTCTGAAATCCCGTAACTTGGTCTGGACATGGGCAGGCCGAAACTGTTTTGGCTCAACTAGCTGTGAACAAGTAAGAACAGTCCATGTCTACCCATGTTGGTCTGCATACACAGCGCTGTTTGGCAACTGTGCAGAAGAGTAGCTGCTCCAGTTCGTTCAGCACATCTTGCAATGAAGTTATTGAACTGCCCGCGGCAAGAAGATACAAGTTGACCCATCTTCCTGCATCAGCCCATGTCACTTTAAGCCCAAGCAGCTCCAAGCAGCTCATGCTGTCAATTGCTACGCCATGCCCCCCGCACTTGGGGACATTGACGGTTCATGCGCCCAGGCCAGTGGTGCAGAAAGGAATTGCATGTGCTGCATGCGGGCCATACATGTGCCTCTTGTGCCACGACATGCTTGGACTTAGAATGTCGCTTCTATACAGTATACTACATAGTATATAGTATATACTTTATACTATATATAATGGAATGAGTGCCGGGCCGCTCAGCTGTCTTGGCTCAGTCTGGACAGCATAGATCGGCGATCGATTCAAAGCTACAGGCAGAGACAGCATGAAAACCTGCTGAAGGGGACATCTAACGAGCCCCGCACGAGACTTAAGCTGCTTACGGACTTTAGACCACCAGCGGAGCCATGTCGGGTGGCTGTGGAGCCACGAGCATGGCCGAACAGCTTGAGCTGTTCGTGCAGATGGCCGCAGCTCCTCCGTTGAAGAAGAACCTTGCGTCGGAAGCCTTCACAACAGTTGAATGCGAGACCGACATTTCACTTGCAAAGCTTGCAGATTGGGAAGAAATGGAAAGTGAACTCAACACGGACGACGATGCAGTGATCGATGAAAATTTCCAGCGTTACAAGGCTATGTGGGACGAGGAGAAGCAGCTCGATGAGGAGTTAGACACGCTTCGCGCGCAGCTCAAGCAAGACAAAGCCTACAACCACCGGGAGAATCAGGGTCATCAGCAGAAAGTTAAGAAGCTGCAGCAGATGCTGCAAAAAGTGAAGAAAGAGGACGCCTCGCGCAAGAAGGCCTCGGAGTCCAAGGTAGGCAAGATCAAGGAGCAGCTTTCGGAGGAGAAAGTGGAGCTGACCCAGAAGCTGGAGCAAGCGCGGGATCTGAACAAACGGCTGAAGCAAAAGTTGGAAGCTCCTGCTCTTGTGGAAAGCAAAGAGACAACAAAGAGGTTGAAGTCTGAGCTGCATGTGTTGACAATGTCCTTTGCGGACGAACAAGGCAAAGCAAAGCTTCTCTGCCAGGAGTTTGAAGGCAACTCTGCTGTTCAACGAGTTCGTCAGATCGAAGTCGACCAAGTGACGCAATCACTCGAGAACTTGCAGAAGCGGCTGGACACTCTCAAGGCAACAGCATCAAAGCGTGCGCAGAAGATTCGTGACCTGAGCAGAAAGCGTGACGAGATGCTCGAGACGAAGGATGATGCAAAGGAGTTCGTTCGAGCTCTTAGATGCAAGCACAAGGTTGCAAAGACCAAGTTCGAGGATATGCAAGGCATCACACGAACTACCAGAACCTTGAGCAAGTCTACAAAATCCAGTCAAGTGGCAAGCAGCAAGTCTGATGAGATGGTCTGAGGGAGCCTGCAGGTGTAGTTCAAGCAGGTAAGTGCATTGCTCATTCTCGAGGAATTCAGTGGCTCGCACAGGGAGCCCTTGTCTCACTCAGTGTTTCATAGGGAGGTGGACCCACAATACTTACCACCGCGACACTGCCGAAAACACCGAAACCGCTCACGAAGCCTTACGGAGAGTCGTGGAAGTTGTGCTGGGCATGGCATTTGGTGCGGCCGTGCGAGCCATTAGCAGAGCTGCTGTGAGCCAAGTTGACCTTCGAGGTCGCCGCTGCGGGCGTCGGAGGTCGGCCTCCACTGGCTGCGACTCGAGCTTTCAAGTGCTGCCGGAGCTCTCTTTCAGAACGCCTTTTTGCTCTGAGGCATTGTGGCCCAAAGCAGGTCTTTTTCTTGGCATGCCTCCACGAAGACATTGTAGACCACTCTACGCATGCATCTTCAGCCCAATTGAGCCAAAACGTGATGAAACACATTCCAGCTTGCTGCAGTCGATAGTATACGCCCAAGTCGAATTCGCTCTTTCAGTGGTGCTGTCGCTCCGACGTGTGGTTCACGATGGCGGAGCTCACGCCGAAGTCGCCGAGAACGACAGAGAAGTTTTCCTTGAAAGACAAGTCAGCAGTCTCTCGAACTCGGATAATACGGTGCCTGGGTCCAACTTTGCACAGGCTTGATAAAATCAGCCTGGAGTGCTATCTGTCAATACTTACCGGACTGCCTGCCCACCCACCTACCTGTACCTACCTATACATACGTCTCAACATGTCAAAACTGCGCGTGCCTCTGCAGAAGCTGAAGCTCATCGCTCAGGCAAAGATGCTGTGTGCGAAGCAGGAAGGCGCCCCCGGACTTTCAACCGCTGACGAGGATGCGGTACTCGAGCGCGACGTGCCTCTTAGTTGCTCTTGGCCATTTTGCTCTTGCGTTGCAAAAGGCTTCCTGGAAAGCGACTTTCAGCAATAGACGCATGTAGCGTAGCTCGCCGCGGTTTCTGGACTCTGCACGAAGCAAGGTTGGCAGCATGCCCGCATGCCCGCTGATGCCCTGTGCGGTGTCCTGAGGCTGCTCATTCTGGAACATATGTTTCTTGTTCGTGCAGACGCGGTTCTGGTCAGCCTGCCCCTCAGGAATGCCGGTTGCCGGGATTTCAATGCACAGGGCCGTTCCGATCCCTAAAGTCTTACTGAGGCATTGGCGATCTCGCTCCCGTGCGCGCTTATCGCAGGTGGACTCAAGCTCTACCAGAATTATGTTGAGACTCGGTATGGCTCGATGCAGGGACCATAGGAGGCCAAGCCCGGTTCTGCGGAATCCGGCTGTCGGTGTCTTCTCTGCTCTTCCAACAGCCAAGGATGAAGGGAAAATGTGGCGTGGATGCATGAAGCGGCGTTTCCTGCCGCCATAACTTGATTCGTGATGTGTTCGCCAGGAATGGCGTCATCAATGACGACCAGGCCTACACCGGAATCGTGGTGCTCATCAGCTTTCTGATAGTTTTCCGCACGCAAACCGGCTACCACAAGCGTGCTCCCCAGAGCTTTCTCGTGTAAAGCCAGCATTAATCTCTCAGCCTCAGTCGGATTCTTGAAAGATTCCATGGCAGACTCTGACCTGCCCGTAAGACCCCATTAGCATGCGATATCGGTGACGTTGCATGACTAAAGGTTCTGGGAAGGATGCTTGGAAGCATTTCGTGGTATCTGGTGTCACTGGAGTGCATTGTGATCTCATGGGATGTAGAGCAAGTGCCACGCGCTCACTCAGGGACTGATCTTGGATATCAGTTGGTGGGAGAGTCTTGTTCAGCAACAGACACGTCCCATTCATGCCCTTGATCGTGGACAAGAGGCTTGTTCCTCTTGGGAGTAGCATCGCAGCAGTTCCGTCCAAGACTCGAGGACCTCTCTGATGGATGTAGCGACCTCATCGCCTACTGTGAAGGCTCCAAGTTAGAGGACGAGGAGGTTCAGGCAAGCGCCAGCAGACTTCGAAAAGAGTCTGCGATCTCCCGTCTTTGACTGCGTGCAGAGGCTTTTCAGCACCTCCTAATTCGTCAAGCCCTGAGCCTTGTATTGGATTATGATTGGTACAGGTGCTCCCTTGCAGCTTCTGAGGTTTGGCGAGCCTCCTGTCTGCTGTGTGCTTTGCAGAGCTCATGGGTGGTGGCATAGCCTACGAAGGTCCCCGTCGGCTTTGCTTGAGGTGTAGGTGTAGGACCGTAGGACATAGACAGAGTTGCAAAACATTGGCAGATCCAACGGTGCCGACTAAATTTTTGGAGTATGAGCTGGCCGCCTCCTCAGCCTTCATACCTGTGCATCGGAGCTCCCCAGCAGTGTCATCAACCTCAGATTGACTTCAGCGGGCTGGATGATGACACTCGCCAGTTTATGCTCGATGGGCAAGGCACGTCTGTGGCTTGGAGGACAGCATCAGGCAACGTCCTTTCCGTGCAACAAGGCAGCCCAGAGATCATCTATCAGTGGATCCAGATTGCGATATGCGCGCAGCCGAGGGGGCTTCGCACGGAGCTTGAAACGAAGCTTGCAGTCCAGCTGTCGATGTTCAACAGGTCGGGCCAACAACATGGGCACTTTCGGCGTGCCACCGCCAGTGCTTACGCGAGCATATCAAGATCTTGGTCTCTCCATGATCAGGTTTCACCAGGCCATCAAGTGTACAGTGTGTCTACAAGCACTTGTCGCTCAAAAAAGGTAGCTCAAAACCCTGCGTACTGCCAGGCGCAGAAGATTGTGGAAGTCCCCTTCCCTTTGCCGTATGTGGTTGCAGCTCGGGTGCAGGGCAATCTGTGCAGTCTACCACCTGCTCCCCTCGCTACCTAGAACCCGAAGAACCTAAACACCTACGAAGCTGTAGAGTTCCCGTAAACCCTGCTGACAGTGGCCGGCTGACGAGCAGCGTAATATCAGAGAAGTTGGACAAACAAAACACAGAGAAATATCTTGTACTGTAGGAGATTTTCTATAAGACCTTCGCCCCAAGAAAAGCAAGGGTTCACAAGTTTTCCGGGTATGTGGGTTTCTGTCACCTGAATTCGTTCCTACCGAAATCTTTTCCCGTGTCCTGGCCGCGCATCCAAACATCAAACCCCCAGACCCCTAACCTAAACCCTAAACCCCTCAACCCCTAAACCCTAAACCCCCCTCAACCCTAAAGCATGACCATGGTGAGGCTCTTCAGCTGCTGCTGATCACACACTGGGTGATGACGCCCATCGTCTGCAGCGGATGGACTGACTACACTGCCTGGGCAGCCCGTTTCGGCATTGCAGTCACCCCCCTTTTTCCCTTGTGCTACTGATGGAGAAAATCCTGCCCATGACCCGAAGGACTCTAAACTATGGGAGCTATGGTAAATTCCTTATAAAAGCGTAATGCAGGATTTTGTCCATCAACAGTATGAATCCTAGCCAGCATCATGAAGCTTTAATGTGACTGGGATTTGATTTGATCGAGGCTGTCATGTTCGCGCTCACGAACACGTTATCACTGTGGTTCTTCGTTGGAGTCGCAATGGAAATGGACTCACCATTCAAACAAGCCATGTTTGCTATTGACTCGAAGGCTCTGCAGCGTCATTTGAACCATCGACTTATGGCGCAGCTGCACACATTCGAGGGGCCACAGCCGAGTTTGAAGAAGACTTTCATCAAAGACCCTGTGCCTGTTGCTGCTTGGCTTTGACTCTTTGACTCCGAATTGTCGATCCGACAGGAATTTCAAGAAGTCAAACAAGCCACTGTTGTGCCTGAATGCTTGCCGTGCGCGCATTTGAGAGAGGCATTGCCTGACATCCTTTCGACAGGGAGCCAAGCAGTTTCGGATCCTAAGCCCAAGACCCAGACCCTAAAGGCCCTCAAGGCTCTAAAGGCCCTAAATACCCCAAAAAGGCTCTCAAGGCCCAAAGGCCCTAAAGCCTCTAAAGGCGCTGAAGGAAGGTCCTAAAGACCCTAATCCGTGTGAGGTGATGACACCACAGGAAACCGGGCTTGAAGTCGGGCGAGTGCGGTCCAACTCCCGTCCTCCGATTGGCAACTATCGGCGGACCGGCTCCCTCCATGGTGCGCTGACGAATTTCTGTATGGATGGGCCGTTGGAGTATGACGACCACTCGGACGATGCAGCAAGCCCGCAAGATGTGAAGCTCTGCTTGCCGGATGAGAAAATCAGGCTGTGACCAGAAAAGCAGCACAAAATCCAGCGTGAAGAGCTGAAAAGCATCACGATGTACTGTTGTTGTTTACAAGCTATTTTCCCGCGAAGAAACACAGACACAAAGATGTTTGCATAAACGCCTTGCGGCAGTGTGCAAAGTCTGTGCAGAAAGCCCTCTGAATGTGGCAGAGGCCCTCAACATATAGTTTCACACAGGCAAAGGCAGCCCCTGCCAGCGGCGTAGCACCTTCTGTGCAAATGTCGGGTGGTTGCACAAGGTCCCGGTACGATCAAGCACAAAACCAACTGGGCACGGTAGTTGCTATGATTGTGCTGGCATAGCCGCATGCAGCTTCCATTTTCGAGACCCGGTATGTGATGGTCGCAAAGAAGTTTGGAAACCCAGCTAAGCTGGCGTTCTGCAAGTCTGACCTGATCCGCCAAGATGGTCAAGAAACAAAAGCAGCCAGTACAGTATCAGGTATTGTAGGCGAAGTCCGTGCACGCGACATGCCGCTGCACCCATCGACGATGTCCTCTTGTGCAGGCGAAGCGGCCCTGTTACCGTCAGCGTGCCGCGGTCGCGGCTCTTCTTGCCGCTTCTCGCTGCCATGGCCGCTGTGGTTCAGACCGAAGGCTGAGGAAGCGAAGCCCAAAAAAGCCGTCGATACTTCGATTTGTGAAGGCTGCGCAGCCTGCGACGTGCCTCAGCGGAGAAGGCAAACTTCCTATGGGCCTACGCTTTTGGGACGCTGAGTTTGCCTTTCGCAGACGAGGAGCCCGAAAAGTCGTTAGAAGAGAAGTTCAGCGACTTCACCACGGTGCTTCCGTGGCTGAGCGCTGAGATGTTGCTGAGATGTTTAGGTTGCGCGCTGCATGTCGATGCAGACGCTTCTCCGAACCATGATTTTCCTCAACCAGGTTCGGTTATGCAGCCGATATCCAGCAGCTCCATTCGGAAAGGCGAGAACAAGTTCGCGAGGCACCCATTCACGCAAGCTACTGCTGGAAGGTGAAGTTCGTAGTCGAGTCTGTGAAACTCGTGAAGGCATCCGCTGCACCTCAAATCGCTGCTGATGCCGCAGTTCTCAGTCAAGCGCTGCAAGGCAGGATTGGAGCTTTCGCTGGGTTCTTTGCGCTTGACTTGACCGTCGGTTCAGTCGTGTGACGGATGTACTGCCGAGGCGCCATCGATGGAGGCAAATGCTCAGAAGAGATACCGGAGGCTGGATGTGTCCGGCTGAAGGCTTGAGCGGGGCTTCACTCAGGTGACAGTGAGCAAATGGGAGATTCCGAGAATAGGGGCCCCTAACAGAGTACCCTATATAGTAGGATCCCAATTATAAGGGCCCCTAATGGAGTACCTGAAAAAGGAGGATCCCTATAAGACGGACCCCCAAAAAGGTACCCCTAGTTTTCGGAAACTCCGAATGACACAGGTCGTGGAAGCTGCCCTGCGCCTTTCGGAGTCCAAGAGCATCGAGACAAACCCGACGAAGGCAGGGCGGTGTGTACGGTTGGACATCGACGCCTGTTACATGGGAGATTCCGAAAATGAGGGGTACCTTATTTTGGGTCCTTGTAATAAGGATCCGGCTATTTAGGGTACTATATTAGGGTCCCCTATTTGAGGAAACTCCCACATCCTGTTACGTTGTGCATATCGCGGTGACGCTTGGTGGAAGTGCGTAGAGGAGGTTTCCCGGAACTTGTTCTGGTCTCGGGGAGCTCAGTCATTCGCGTCTTCGAGAGCCTCTACTCTCCGCAGCGAAAAGGCGAGAGCTTTCATAGGCTTTCTTCGGTAGTGTGATCTCGAGACTGACACTATCAGGGTTGAATGCTCCTTAATGATTGAAACTGGGAACGGTGCATCGCGCACCACCAAGCCGGCATGCAGGTCTGTAGGGTGCACCCGAAAGTAGCTAAACTTGTCGTGGCTCGGCTTCATGAAATTCAAGGGAGCTCCCTTCAGGCCATCGAGAGCATCGCTGGCCGATGGGAAGCTGTGCCGGTCTCAACTCATGGGTTTTCGTTCAGCCGGCCCCTGAAGTAATCCTTTGGTTTGTGCTGCACTTGTTTTTCAGAGAGTTCTTAGACTTGCAGTTGCTTAACAAGCTTCTGAGCTGATCATGGTCTTGGTGATGCCCTAGCAGCACGCCTGGGCTTCAATTAATAGCTACAAGCAGCCGCTGGACTGGCATTCAGTGTCCACGGTAGATAGATGCCCGATCGGGGAACTGAGGGTGACGTCTTTGAGGGTATCACTTGTGCTGCGTGTGCTTCTTGGCTCCTTTTGGCTCTGCTCAGGTGTGGAGTGGCGCTTTCACTCCTCTGCAGAAGTGGGGGATCCCACCCCAGTGTTTGTGGCTTGAGGCTGGGTTGCGGATACTGACTCGGTACGGATGAGCTTGACACGAGCAGTTGCGCAGGTACTGCCAGGACAGGGACAGGAGCCACCCGTCGTCGCAGCCCATAGTCCTGCCCTTAGTCCGATGTGAGGTTGTGGGTCAGAGGTTGGGTTGGGGATGCCGTATGATAGTATGATGATGCAGGCCTCGGCGAGGGCCCATGCGCAAGCCGGGTTTTGAGGTCAAGGTCATGCTCGAGCATGCTTGAGCTTTGTGGTTTTCACCCAGGTGGCTTGCCTTTGGCTCTCTTCGGTGCCTACTTGTGGACTTCATGTGCCGGAGATTTGGTTCCGGCGGCATCTTGTCACAAGTTTGTCACATCTTGGCGCAGATGGAAGTCGTGCGGATGCGGTGTCTGTCTATTTAAGCCCTTGGCCCTTGCTGAACCCTGCAGGAACCCACGGCAGAGGGCTCCAGCCAGGCAGAGCCGAGAGGAGAGCTTCGAGTGCCCGGGGTGTTACTATATATATATATATATGTATATACATATCATGTACATACCTTACACATATATACAAAACATATGTATATATAATACAAATATTACATATAGTATACAAAAGTTGTTAGGATCCATTCTGATGATGTGCAAGTCATAGCTTTACTGTTGCGGTCCTTGATATGTTATCAGCGCTTTATCTGACTATCCACAGCCTGCTTGAGAGCCTTGTTGTCCGACAGGTTCTCATCCAATTCACACGACACCTGGCTGCATGTGGGGCTACCAAGTCTGGGACACCAGAAGGAAAACGCCCTCGCACCACGCAGTGGTAACGTCAGATCACCTAGGTGACCTGATCCAAGATTGCTCTGAACGCCGTTACCCGGTAGCCTACTGGCACAAGTTTGCATAATGGATCCCGCCCTCAAGTTTGAATCACTCGAGCCTTCTCTTTTCGTGCTTCCACCTGTGACTCAACGCGGCTGGCTCACTACTCGGATTACTCTTATCCACTTATTCCAACAAGTCGAGCCGCTCCCAGCCTTGAACTAGACACAATCTCTTCAGTCGTTCAAAGAGAGTCTGGCGCAATCAATGCCAGTTCAGGGCCGCGCGAATTTGACAAGGTGACCACTTGAATCATGCTTGGCACCGCGAGGCTTAAGCAGCCCAGGTAAGTTCAGCAGAGCAACGTCACAAGCGACCGTGTTCAATCTGTCGCAGTTTCCGATCGCACAAGCGGTCAAGCGGCCTGGTCTGAAACTGCATAGGAAAAAGAGCACTACTCGTCTGCCATATCTGAAAGCCAAGCAAGCACCGACTGGTCTTTACACGTTCGCATCGGACGCTTCATCTGAAATAAACCTTTGAAATTGAAGAATATATTTCGTGAGATTTCGAATCTACCGGTTCGTAGGTAAGCTGCTTCGACACTTGTTCTACAAGCAAATTCGCAACAGTTTAAAGTGCGTGGTCCTCTATTTGGCCGAATCTCTCACAGACAGACACAACTTTCTGGAAAGTTGCAGCATGTGTTCAGAAGACGCATGGCCGCTGTAGCTGGCTTGCCGCATAATTAGGAATGCAGACTGTTTCAATCACTGATCAGTCTCAAACAGTGAAGGTACTCTCGAGGTGGAAGCCCCAAAACTTATATAGTCCGCTCTGAAGGTTCAACCGCTTCGATTCACAATGTCCTTGGCCCATCGAGAAGAGCAAAACCGTAGGAGCAAAATCGGTGTAGTAGCAGAAGCAGTAGCAGTAGCAGTGTGTAAAAGAAGCAGTCGCAGTAGTACTAGTACTAGCTGACTACCTGTGATAGCAGTAGCAGTAGCAGTAGTAGTAGTAGTAGTAGTAGTAGTAGTAGTAGTAGTAGTAGTAGTAGTAGTAGTAGTAGTAGTAGTAAAAGTAGTCGTTTTGGTGGTGGCAGCTTTCAACCGAGAACTGAGCGGGGAAGTCGACGAGGCTCCATGCACTGCAAAGACTGGCTAAGACTAAGGATACTGGATCGACATCGGCCCGAAACCGCGGTCAGCCATTTGGTCGCACAACTTTCTGAGGCTTGATGAGTAGGAATGGTTCGTTTAAACAGACAACACATAGTGGTTGTTGCGTGTCTATGGCAGGCTCCAGCACCCGAGTGGCATCTGAAGACCTTGGCCATGTCGGGGTGGTGGGCTTGTTCAGTCTGTCAAGTTTGACGATGCTGTCCAGAAAGTGGCGGGGCTGGGTGCTCATGATTTCCGTAGGTAAACTTGAACATCTCGTGCGACTGTGGCCACAGTTCATGGCTGTGCATAGCATGAGTGAAGATCGTCGCATGTCACATGCGGCATCATGCGACATCCACGACAGACTTGGACTGTGCGCACGAACTTACTCCCGCTTTAGTGCTGTATGACGACCCCCTCTCATGCTCATCCAGCCGGGTGTCGAGGCCCCCAGCGTTTTCCACCGATTTCCAAGCGGACTCCATCCTGTGTTTTTTGCCTTCTTTGCGTGCAGCACAGAAATGATCAGATCAGAATTCCCTCTCCTTTTGGCACTGCGCTGTGGGTAACGAGTACTAGGCTAAGTCAATGACTTTGATGCTGCTTGAGGATGTTGGCCGCATCGATGGTGGTTTCATCACCAGCCGCCTTGCAGCTTTCGGCGCAGCTTTGGTCACTCCGGTGCCTTAAAGACGAAATGAGCCCTAAAAGGGCTCGCATACCACATAGGGGTTCATGGTAGAATGGCAAACCCTAACATCCTAAATCCTTAACCCTAAAGGGATTCATGGTAGGGATTCGTAGTATAAGGGTGTAGGGCCCCCACTTCCTCAAGGTGCTGCTGGAGTTTGGTGCTCTGAAGTGGGTCCTCGAGCGTTTCTCGGCTGCTTCGGAGAGTCAGACAGAAGCAAAGACCGCTCTGGATAGTCGGATAGACTATTCTGTATTACATGTTGCATACTCACATTCATATATTGCATTCTGTGTGTAGTATATATATATATATGTATAGAATATATCTATACATATATATATATATATATATGTGTGTTTGTTTTTTCTCTTTGTTTATGTTATAGAGCATGCTGCAGGCTTCGGGCTGGAACGAGTTTTCGAAGTTGAAGTCCCAAGTCCGGATGGTGGTGACCAGAAGGTGAAGCTACAAGCCTCCCTGGCCCCTTGGCGCATAGAAGCTAAAGATAAGGCTTTGCTGCTTGAGAGCAATGTATAACTACTAGACTACTAGTATATTAATAATATGCTACTAACTTATTATTATTAAGATACTACCCTATACTGAATTCCGTGTCATCTTTGGGTTCATCCCAGGAGCTCTACTTGACTCTGCTGGCAAGGGTGGCGTTTCCTGACAGCCTCTCCAAGTGCCCCATACCATTCTTGGACACTGAAGCTGGCCTGTGCGTCTACGAGGCCTCGCCGGTGATTCCCTCCGATACTGGTAGTAGTTTTTAGTCTCAGTGTAGGTGCACCGAGAATTCCAAGTGTAACTACCAGCAACTTGGACTTCGAGTGTAGCGGTAAGTGGCAAGCGCAGACAGCAGGATTGTGTCAATCCACCTGTCAGATACCCATGCTGGGGCCCATTGGCGATCTGCCCGATTGGCTGCACCCCGGGGGCAACTCAGCGGCGCTGGTCGCCCGCCGTCTGAAGCCTGGCGAGGAGCCGGCATTGATGCGGCGCTGATCCAACAGCTTGGCTGGCCTTCCATCTCTCGTGCGCTCTGAGCATCGCAAGAAGCGGTGCATCGAGAATCGATTTTCCGTTGCAGCCATGGAAACAAAATCGGGGATTGCGTCGGCTTTGGCACCAGGTTTCGACGATATTGATGTTCCATGTTGGCATCCAGCCGGTGATTGTCCACAGGCGACACGATGGGAATCGTTCCAACAGGGACGAAGCAGGGATTTTTGAGCCTGGTGCTCGGCCAATGTTGGACACCGTCTCGTGGCGCTAACGAGACGTGATGCATGCACTGCATGCTAGATTTCTGCCTCTCTGCGCCGGAAAGAGTTTTAGAGCTCAGGTCAAGATGCGCTGCCATTCAGGACCACCTCAAAAAGGCCGTCTGTATGAGTCAGCTGGTTAGCTGCACATCCGACGGCATGGCGGAGAGGTGGCCTTGACCTGGCATTTGAAGGTGCATGGCGCTGCTGTAGACATGCATGATGCTGCAGCGCTTCTGAACTTCAGAGGACCCAGGACGGGCCCTCGGCTTGCAGAGGCGACTCCCTGCGCCCGCCGATGTCTGACTTCTGGATGCCAGGACTCCCGAGCAAGGTGAGAAGCTCTTGCAGGTCCTGGAGGATGTCGAGCGTTACTTTGCAGCACCGCTTGGCGTGACACCAGTTATGGGCTATGGCTATGGTAGCAATGAGCTCTTGCTCGTAGCAGTACCCGCATGACACCAGTGCCTGCAGGCTTTGTCTTCGCCAACGTGATCAGGCTCACCTGTACTCGGGGCGGTTCCTGCGCACCTCTTCTTTCTGTCGCTGTTGGATTGCTCTTCTACTGATTCTACTGGTAGTCTTAGTGTGTCGCGAGCACTGCAGGCCGGATCCTGCCTCCCGCACAGAGTTCTGGCACGACTTCGTTGAAGGGCGCGAAGCCGTAAACTCAGCTGGGCTTACCTGTTACCACCAGGTGTTCCGAAGCAAGAACGACTGTATCGCATGGCGATTCAACTGGATGCCACATGTTGCTATGTGTGTGCTCGCAGAGGTGGCGCTGGAGCGCGCGATTGTTGCGCTGCGCCAGCGGTTCAAGGCAGGAACCATGATTTGCTTTGTGGTCCCTGCTGGCATCCAAGGTGAGCCCCCATGTACTCATGAAACCGTCTTCTGGTGCCTTCTGGCACTTCCCTGAACCCTGCAGGCTCTACACAACGAAGTGTCGCAAGTCATTACCTCCGCGCCTCGGCGGACAGTCCGTGCCCAGACGAGAGCCTCCACCCTCCGGCACACGTTTTGTGAGGTTCCGGATAACTCTCCTCGACAGCACCGCTCGCGGACGCCTCCGCGCTGAGAAGGATGTCAAGTGCACACACTTATGGCCTAATCCTGGCAGGCACACTCTTATGGCCAAATTCAAGTTCGGACTGCCAGGATTGGGTTTAGCGACGGATCAGCTTCAGCAGAGAAGGAAAAAGCATAGCTACGGGCTACTTGTAAGTGCAAGCTGCCCTTGGCGACTGACAGCGGTGGTGACCAGACCAGCTAGACGGAGTGTACTCCGCAGGGCGGTTAGGTGGGTCGATTCGAAGTTCCGAAAGGACTGGAGGTCAAGGCAGCTAATAGATTGCATGTCATGGAAGTGTTATTCGGAGGTTTTGCGCGGCTGATAGCTGTGCGTGGTAGTAGTGGTGTTGACTGTCGATGCTGTTGCACTCAAGACTTCAAGCTTTGGCACATTTACTGACGAATCGGTAATCATTCCAGGATGTCGGCTTTCAGGCTCTGGCAACCCTTGTGAACAACTCAAAGCCCGGCATTGTGGGATTTGGGGCATCGGCTTCCCTGCGAAACGGCTCGGAAGTGAAGCTCGTGACGCCCAGGTTTGCCTTGACAATTTGCTCGGGACAGCTGGTCCGACAGGTAGCCTTGTAGTCCTTAGACACCCGGGCTCTATCCGTAGAACGGAAGAGGCTGATGCCTGTGCCCGGTTACGGTCTACTGCGACCACATGGCCGCCATTGACCAGTCGGTCGGAGCCAGGCGCGTACGCCGTAGATGTGCTCGGGATCGAAGGAACATGTGGGGCACCTTCACCACTACAGTAAGGTTATAAGTACCTTAATTGTTGTTATAAGTAGTTATAAGTATAGTTACCCTAACTATAACCCTAGTCAACTAGGATCCTTTAAGTAGGATCGGGAAGATGGGAGTGTGCCCCGAGGTTCAACAGTTTCGGGCTGGTGATTCCGGAGGCCCTCTGCCAGTGTCTGCAACACGCTTCCTTCTCGTCCCTTAGGGGTTTACCATGGTTTACCCTAAACTTTCTTAAATCCTCCGAAGGTTGTTCTCAGCTGACCTTGAAGAAAGAATAGAAAGCCAAAAACTCTACAACCCTTAGCCCTATACACTATAGACCCTAAAGCCCTGAGCCCAAAAGAACCCAAACACCCTAAAGCCAACCGAGCGTGAAGGCTCTATCTTGCAACTCGTCGGCTTTTTGGTCCTCCTACAGATTGGCCGTGGAGTTGCATCCTTACGCTGCTAGGTTCCTGAGTAGTACCGAATAGTAGGAGAAAGGGTACCCTTATTATGAAGGGGCTACTCAGGAACCTAGGCTGCATGGAATCTGCGCGTCACGAAGTTACGAAAAGTTAAGCAGTCTCGAACTTGTGATTCAAGGTCTTCCGTTGAGGAAGGATCTTTTCCACAGGAGTTGCTCACGCTGCAAGGGAGCACATGCGATAGGGAAAGCTTATTACCACCGTTGTAAGACTATGATCATGACTGTTGTTCTAAATGCTGCTATCATAATCATAATCATGGGTTACTCTCGCATTCGCCAGGAGCCCTATGACGAGTCGGTTTCGGTGTTTCGGAGCTGGGCCAGCGTGCAGCCCAGAACATGTCAGGGTTTCTATGAGGGCACCATAAGGGCTGCCAAAAGCGTTCTTTCTGAGGGCTCCTTTTTAGGAACCCCGCATATAGAACTTTAAAGGGAACCCTTGAAAATAAACAGTATGGGTTACTGGTTACGAGAAGGGATACTACAAGGGAGAAGGGTCACGATAAGGGCTCTATATGGGGTTCCTACAACACCCTCTGATTTCTCAGGCCTTGGCCGTGGCCCAACAGAAGAGCTGGGAAGCTTCGGCAAACAGCTGGAGGACCGCGGGGTGGAAGGGGCTCGGACTCATTGAGGGCGGGCAGTCGGACGTGGAAAGCAGGACGGCTTCTAGTGGTCAAAGCAGCCGAGCATGGAGTTATCTCGGACAAGGGTGGTGTTGTGCAGTGGGCGTTGCCTTTTTGTTTACCTTGCCATTGCTGGGTTTCTCCCCTTCCCCCTCAGCTCCCAGTTTCTGTTTTCGCGCTCCTGTAGTTTCGTCTGGATTCTTTGAACGTCTGCCGAATCAAACCAGCTTGCTGAATCGTCTGCCTGTGCTGGTCTCGCGTTTTTACCATTCCACAGGGGTGAAGCGAGCGCAAGAGTGTTCAAGGTGATTCGTTGACGAACTGTTGTACTTGCATTTCTCAGAATGACGAACCCGCACCTGTGGACCCTCTTATGGAGCTTCCGACCGGTTGCACAGGCACGTGGTGGGGAGATGTGTATGCAGTTCGGTTCTGAAAGCTGCTCCATACACGTACTTATGTGTTGCATAGGCACATGTAGGCAGTGCGCATATACACCTGCTACGATGTTGGCAGGTAAACATACACACATACACATATGGATATGCACATGACATGCCCGCGTTTACAACAGTGTGTTTGTATTGTCGCCCTACAGCAGCAGCATCATGCCAGGGTGCGCGGTCGAGCGATTCTGCGTCGTCGAGCGATTCTGCAAGCTCCTGCTTGTTTGGCTTGGCCGATGGCTGAGCTGACTCCTCTGGTTGGGCATTTTGGGTTTAGCGTGCACCGCGCATATTCTGCCGAAGGACAGATTGGAATTCCTATCGTTTTCGGGGGGATCTAGGCCAGTGTGCCATCTTGTTCACAAGCCCCAGGCCCTGTTCACTTGTAAAGGGTCTCGGAGTCCGGAGAAATCCAGCGGCCCTCACTTGGTACTTGTTGTGCGGTTTGCCGTACTTCCAGGTAACGGCACTGGAAGTGATCGCTCGACGAAATGTTGGCCATGTCCGCGCCTTCTGCAGGGAAACAACAGACTCGCAACAGCGTGACGGAAACTTTCGGCAGTGTTCCTATAGACAGCTGTGCAGAGGCCAGGCGGAAGTGCTACCAATTACGAACGGCGGTGTTTTTGAGTCTGCTTTTGCCCTCTGTGCAAAGCGAGGTGCGTCGGCAGATGCTGGCACTTGCAGAGGTGGCGATAACATTTCTTGCGTGCGGCAGCTCACTGCGAAGTCTGGCACACGCTGGCGAGCAATGGCATTGGACTGCTATGTGAGCCATATGCCGACAGGATCTGCTGTACTTCGGTTCTACAGATGCCCGTGCCCCGGGAGGAGCCGTGGGAGGGAAACGCCTACTTGGAGGTTCATGGGTAGTTATAAGTGGGGTTATAAGTCCCCTAATGTGAGTTATAGGTATAGTTGCCCCACTTATAACCCCACTTAGAACTGCCCGTGAACCTCCCAGATAGGCCCTAAACCCTATACCCTTAAAGAATCCTTTTACATATATATATATATATATATATGTATATATATATATATATATGTATATATATATATATATATATATACCCCTCTACAGGGACCCTTATAGCTACCAATAACCCTCCAAGTACTGTAACCGTTTCTTCCCCGCAGAGGTCTTAAGCTCTTCGCCTTGGCCCGCAAGGCGCTTGGGGCGATGGGCGCGCTCCGTTTGGTAGGTGGTTTTAGTGTTATTTTACTTATATGATACTTATACTATACTTATATTATACTTATATTATAGGTATATTATACCTATATTATACTTATATTATATTAACCTAGTTCTTATTGCTGAATATACTTTTTTGCTGTAGTACTCTTCTGTTCTCGAGGCGAGCAGACATCTTGTTGA